CCCGCCTCGACTGTGCCCTGCATGATTGAAGTTATCACTGACACTCTCAAAAAGAGTAGGCTACATGTAGATCTAAATGAATGATTGATCGATTGTACGAATTGATTTCTATTTTTCAAATTGTTTTTAACGAAAGAACATTCACTGTTGAAATTTGATTTGCATACAATAAGGAGCTGAATTGAAATTAAAGGGACTATCTCTACAACACCAATTTGAAGGTGGAGAATAAAAAACTTAAGTCACGACTACAGTGTTAAAGTGCTCTAATTATGACTATCATCTATACTCAAATACTAAATGAAATTGTGACAAGCTGGGACTGTGACAAGCTGGGTAGCCCCGTTTTGACATAGCATCCCAATACAACTTTATTGTATCATCATCTGCTTATAATTTATCACGGCAGTGATTGCAGACTCGAAAACCTCATGAATATTCATCATCTTTCAGTTTCTGTTTCTGTTCAGATAGTAAAAGTAAGTATCAGTTGTCATTGAGCGAGGAGGATGTTTTATCTACAATAAATTAGGAATGTGGTTGTTCGTCATTATGATATTATGCGTATATCTTGTGCTGGAGTGTTTATGTGTGTGTGTGTGTGTGTGTGTGTGTGTGTGTGTGTGTGTGTGTGTGTGTATGCGGGTGTGTGTTTATGGGTGTGTTCGTGGGTGTTTGTGTGTGCATGTACCTGTGTGTGTGCGTGCTGGAGTGTACATGTGTGCTTGTGCAAGTGTCTGTATGTGTATTTGTCTATGTGTGTGTATGTTTGTATGTGTCTGTGTACATATGCCTGTATGTAGGCCCTATGTTTACGTGTGCGTATGTTTACGTGTGTATATGTTTACGTGTGTGTATGTGTCTCTGTACATGTGTGTACGTGTCGAGTATGTGTCTGTGTATGTGAACTAGTGTGTACGTTTACAAGTGTGTCTGACGGTGTGTACCTGCTGATCCCTCAGTAGTACCGATACCAGCAGCTGTGGTTTAACAGCCGAATGATAGAAACCATCTGTTACATGATGGCAGTGTGTAGACAGACAGACAGACAGACAGACAGACAGACAGACAGACAGACAGACAGACAGA